AGATGAATCTTTGTCAGAGTCGCACAACATATCATTTTGTAGAACTCAGGTTGCTCTACAATCTCGCATATTCAAATGTTTTGTTCAGCTTAAAGTTTTGCCACAAGAAGTTAATTTCTCCATATTAGCATGTCCTACGGGTTTCGGCTTCCGGACTAGCCTGATACAACTTTTTACAGGCTTTCAAACTATTCCAATTTATAGGGCCATCTTCTTCGTATAGAATTCCACTCAAAGTGTTTCCTTTTATTAGTCAGCTTTAGCTGAAAAATATTTTTATTACTTTTTTGCACTTTTCCAGATGCTATTATGGAATAACAATGGCTGAAGAAATCCACACCAACCGGTCATTTTTAAGCAAATGTAAATAATTATTTCGTTATATGAAAGCCATCATTATCTACTTTACTTTAACATTAAAAATTATTTGTGTTCTCTTCGAAAAGTTTTGCAGTACATAATTTACTAAAACAGAGTCTGGAAATATCTGAATTCCATTATTATAGATCCAAACATTTTTTCAAATATTAACAAGAGGTTCCAATCGTATGAAATAGAAATTGAAACGTTTCTCTATCAAACAAAAAAACAACCTTGAAGTTTAGTCGAGAAATGGTGGAGATATTTAATTTTCTTTTTGGTCAATGAATTTCCGGACACCCGGTAGATATTGTAGGAGTAAGTGCTACTCGGAAGTACATAAACTATTTCAGCGACGTTCAAATTTATACTGTCTCTGCAAGAAAGTCTCTGTGAATTTCTTACCATAGAACATAAATACAGAGCTAATTTCACAGTACCTCATATGATCATCTAAAAAACATTATCATTCTAATTGTTTTTGTATTCGTTCGGAAATACTTCTGGTAAATTTTACGCCTCTAGTGTTGCTGTTACGGAATGACGTTGAATTTGTCAATTAAAAAAGACATTTTGCATAAAATTAGCTTTACTTTGACAAAGTATTGCTTTAACTAATGTACAGTTAGTTGAAACTGCTCAAAGATAAGTAAAAAAAGGATCGATTTTCAAATCTCTTGAATGAAAAGTTGAAAATTTCGCTGCAAACCGTAACAAATTTCCTAGGATGAATGTGAATGTCGCATTGCTATCTTCTATCGCGCACATTTCTATCATTCACTAGTGCTTTCGATCCTGAAGCGACAATTCTCTTCATAGACAGATATGTCAGAAATCAGAAAAATGAGATGAAACAATGCTGTTGAATAGTAATCACAATATGCAAGAACTTAGCATTTAATTTTTTTCAAACGGTCATTTTACGACCTGTAAGTGCACATTTTATTTTATTTAATCTTATTTAATTAAGTGAGTTCAAGAGATAAATCATTGTAGATCTCACTACATAAAGGATATAGAAAGCGATAAAAGAAGAGCAATTAAGCTAGTTGAACTAAATGAAATTTGTATTAGTGATTCATGTATACTTGTTTAAATAAACTTGTTTCACGTATGCATTTTACTTAATCGATCTTTTGGATATAATTCATCTTTAATTTATACGATTGTAGAAACATATTGAGTTTTATGATGAGCACCGACAGTTAGTTTCAATTTATATATAAAATGAGCATTTATCACATTTTCTTTTCTTTTTTGTTAACTATATGTCTTCACCTTTCATTTGTAAGATTGTTTACTATTTTTGCTACTTGATTGTAGCACTGTCAAATTTTTGTTCGTTTGTCTTTGTCAACATTGTTGTCGATTACAATGATCTTTGATGATTATTTTCGCTAGTTTCCTACAAGAAACATAAGATATGTCTACTTATTTTTTTTCCTTTGAAAAAGACTCAACATACAAATCATACAATTTATTCCACTACATAAAAAGAAAAACACATATGAAGCACAACAAAGTATTTCGAATAAATGACAGCAAATAATTAATGAATCCACACGCGCATACCGAGAATAGTGAAGAAAAGTGAATTAAAGTAAGATTTGACAATGAAATTATTGTACATAGCAATTTTGACTAGAAAAAGAAATTTTTCTGTTAAAAATAAATAACCATCAAAAAATTTTGTAAGTAATTTTTTGAACGACGGACTCCTTGAAAATTGTACTACTCAGCAAAAAACTCCCCTTTTATCATAATTTGTATTAAAAAAAACATGGATTGTACATCATTTGTCTATTAGCCTAATAAATAATGATGATATAATTTTTCATTTTCAGCACTATCATTGAATAATGGTTTAAAATTGACATGAACTATTTCACTAAAACCTTCATCGATTGTCGGTTTCACATAGGCTTTACTGAAAAAAAAGAGAAAAAAAGAGTATATTCGTCATATAAATACTTATGAAAAAAGTGTGTACAAACTTTGATCCCAAAATGACAATATCGTTAACATTTTTATGACTATCATCAGTACCAATAATTTGACGAAACTAAATAAATAGAATAAAAGTCGTTAAGCAAATACTTAATTTTGTACGCACTATATTATTATGTTTTGCATGTTCGACAGATACATTCAGCACAAAACATCTACAGGGCACATTAAATGTTTTTGCAACATCGATATATCTGAAATAAAAAAACATTCAGATTAATATAACATCAAAAACTATTTTTTATTATAAGAATATAGGCGTTTCATTTTAACAAAGATATAGTCTTCTGGATGATATTGAAATTGTTAGATATGTCACTAAACATAACATATAAGTACCTTTTTCGTGATTCAATATCAACGTTTGTATTATCAACAACAACACTTCGGCCTTTAGACAATGCTATTTCACATTGTTTAACACATTTTTGCCATGTTCCAAGTGTATCCTAGAAAATAGTACGGTTCTTTTGGTGATAAAAAAAATTTAATTTTACAATTTTTAACTTACTCGATTAATATGCTCATAATTGTGTGGTAAAAGATAGTGTTCAACAAAACGACTTTTACCAGCTAAAACAAAAAATTCAGTCAATATTCAATTTCCATATTAAAGCTTATACGTTATTACATGCTGGTAATCCACACATGACAATCATTTCTTGATGAATAGACGTTAATGCTGCTGTTGTTGGCTCGAGCAAATTTTCAATTGAACGTAAAGAGTTCTGTAAAACAAATAAGAAGCAACAAGACACATAAACTATTACACTATTATTCTTTTTCTGTTCTGTCTTACTGGGTCAAATATTGGCATTATGAACGTTTGTTTGGAATAGCCAAGAAAATATTCTTCAGGTGTATAAAATCGAAGACCAACATTCAAAGCAAACTAAATAAAAGAAAAAATCATTTAATAGTGAAAAAAAAATCTCTGTTTTTCAATATACCAATCTATCTGCTAACGAATGATCTTTCTTCGCTTTTGGTTTCCATCCAGCTGGACGACCTGCGGCATCTATGTTGCACACAAACAAATTATATAGTTACAGAAAATCAAATCTATTATCTCGGTCACTCACCACCAACATAAAATGAGTTATCTTTATCAATCGTCACATCACTATTATACTAGAAAAAGGCAAAAAAATGTTTGATCAATATATACGAAAATTACAAAAAAAACATAATCCTCATTCACATTTTTTCAAATGATGAAATTAGCATCCTTATCACGTGAAATTTTAGATGCAAAACAGTACCTTTGTTTGTAGCAGTGTCCACATACCAATACAAGGCTTTCGATTCACTCCTGGATTAATTGCAACAAAAACCTAAAATGTAGAAATAAAATTGTTAAATACTCGATTTATACGTTAACGGCAGGACTTTCATAATAAACGTCTGACTTGTATTTTTAGCAGCTTGAGTATTCATCTTTTAATTTATATTTGAAAATTTGATCGTAGGGCTTTCGAATCAGTAACAACTCATCGTCAGTACAGAAAATTTAAATTAACAATTAATTTTAAGTTAATTTAAGTTTTCTATACTGACAATGAATGACTGATTCGAAAGTCCTACGATCAAATTTTCAAATATAAATTAAAAGATGAATACTCAAGCTGCTAAAAATACAAGTCAGACGGGTCTTGAATACTCTACAAAATAAATTGAGCACTATACCTACTTGCAATGGAACATTGAGTTTTTGTTGAACTCGCTCAATTTTAAGACGAAATTGTGCTGTAGACGGCTTTTTAAATAATCCACGCTAAAATAATTAATAAAAAGATACTTAAATAAAACTTCTGTAAGATGTGTTTACCTGATTTGTAAATATAACTAGTTTAAAACCATCACTGACTAATTGTTTAAGTTTTCTGGTACTTGTATCAAAGGCCAAACGCCAATCATCGTCATTTTCAGGAAAAACTTTTCCTGATTTTGTTGTAATCAATGTACTGTCCAGGTCAAATGCAGCAATCTTAAAATGCAAATATCAAAATAATATTACAAAATCATCACTTGAATCTAATTAGTTATCACGCTTGATGATTGTGCTGCCTCATATATAAGCTGTTACCTTTTCACTATTAATAACTCCTTTTGAGGTAAATACTTCAAGTCCATGATGAATAGCGTCCCAAAAGCTCATCGTAGTTGGTTCTAATTTCACTTCTTTTACGGACGATGCTGTCGGTAATATTACTCTAGAATGAGAGAAATTGCTCTGCTAAATACTTCTACATAAGATAGTAACTGAATGAATATGAAAAAGGATTCACGTTGTTTTACATTTCTTGTTGTTGTTCTTTTTGCTGTAGTACTTTGTTTTTCAATACATTTAACTGTTCTTCTACCCATTGTAAATGATTTTCTTCATATGATTCACTAAGATTATCCAAACTATCCGGCTGATTTTCCACTACTTTTTCTTTCGTTTGTGCATCATTAGTTGAATCTAGACGCGGTTTCTTTTTTGTATTCGTTTCTTCATCATATCCATCATTTGTACGTTTAACCATAATATTATTTGATGCTCCTGTTGGAGGCTTTCGTGTCATTTCTTTATTGTTATCAATATTAATATGAACAGTGTATGAATATTCATTTTCCAATACATTAATAATATCGCCGTTCGATAACTGTTGTCTACTGTTGTCTAATGGACGATTATTTAAATAAGATTTGTTATTACCAACACGTTGAATATAAACATGCGGATAATGAATTTGAATTTGAACTAAAAATGAACGAAAAATATTTGAGTGATTATCTACATTAAAAAATTTTAATTTCTTACCTTGTTCCCTTGAACAACGAGATGATTTTATTTTACATTGTGGGTTACGGCCAATGTTTAATGTTGGTATTTCATCATCAACCGTTGATTTCAAGTTTAACTCGGGATAAGTATCCTCATGTGGAGTTAATTTCACGATAATCGACATACGAGCAATAGTAACAACAAAAATAAATTGAACAATGCTTACAATGATATTGTAAATTAATTAATGCAATCAATCTACAAAAAAATAGTCATACATACCATTATGGTTAAGCTAGCGACTAACTATGCTATATACTGTACTGCAAGAAAGAAAGAAAGCGATCAGTTAAACAACCATTTTGTCAAATCTACTTGAGATATCTTTCACAAACTAAAAAGATTTTGTTTTGAACTTGACATACAGTGAACAGCGCGATGGTAACACTGCTACTTGATTATCTCGTAGAATAAAAGCAGCAAAATGCTCGAAAATATATATTGATAGTTTAGAACTAATTATGCGATAATTTTAAACTTATTTAGAAAAGAATAATCTCAGATGTGTCATGTACAACTGTTAAAGAGTTGAACAATCTTTTCCCCCAAATAAGTACACTCGAGTATCACGGAGTGACTGATTCAAGCAAGAAAAAACGATCGACGAAGGCTAGAGACAAAGTTTTCTTTTGGAAAAAATAGAAAGTTGACCGAGTGTAACGAATTAATGAGAGAAAATTATTATTACTCAACTTTGACAAGTTAAGAAACTAATGAAAATGTCATTCTAAAACACTATAATCAATGGAACTCTAATTTTGTTCTACTCTTTAATCTTAAAAGAAACAGTAAAAAACGTTCGCATATATGAAAGTATCTAATATAAAAGTTTTTGCAAAACTAAAAGGAAAAAAGAAAGACGAGAAAGAGGCAGACTAACATATCCCAAAAGAAAACAAATAATTAGAAAATATTCTTGATGATTATTAATTAATATGTGTGAGTATTCATAACAATTTTCATCCTTTTTTTCAAATTTTCAGTCAATCTAGAACAAAACAAAATAGTATCTATATACCAGTAAAGTTTCTTCATTTTATCTTTTTTACTTGATGTGATCAGGATAAAATTGTGTGTGGTGAACAATGATCTAATCAAATCGTTTAGTTGTCTCGATATAATCATCGATAGCATCTATTATCAATTGAATTTGATTGATGAAAAAGTCAATATCTTTTTCTAGAAATAAGTTTTTGTTATTAAAATTAGGTAGATTTAAAATATGTAATTTTGAAAATAATGTTCGATGAGCTTGTTTATAGCACAATTTCGGATATCCATATAAAAAATGTTTCTGATTTTCTTGCTGGAAATATCAGTAACCAAACATTTTTACTAGACTATGTAACTGCATAATTTATTGAACAATTTCTATTGATGTTGATTTAGTTTCAATAAGATTAGATAAAAATTTCGTCGACTTGACCCGTTTCACTCTTCTAAAACAACGGTAAAAACTTTTCGATACTTTATGAAAGTATACGTCGTTATTAACAAATATAATCTAGAGCGTTTCTCTTGGTAACTAAGGGTATACGTTTGTACATTTTTTAAGTCATAATTAATTATCACCGTCGTATTTAAAACGGATATATAGAGCTTCTTTTCCAAAACTCAGTCTTCATAATGACTTTTTCGAATAACTTTCAAGAAGTACGTGTTTGTATTTTCGTCATGATTTTTAAACGAAAGAATGTGTGGACTGCGGAAACGTCTCAAAATCACACACTTTCAAAATAAGCACACTTTTCTCATTAATGTGAAACGTCAAAAAGCTCTGGGCGTCTCGTCATTCGAAAATTATGAGAGAAACAAAATGTAAAAAATCGTTACGGAGTTTCACTCCGATATCAGAGTTAACTGACCAAACCAATCAGTAACTGGAAGAGTTAATGAAGAATTGAGATTTTTAACCATGTGTAAGTTTTTTAAAAAGTTGACTGATGTCGCTCACAGACGCATTAGTAGACGATAGTCTTCCAGTAATCAGTAAACAATGTGTAGTGGAATGTGTAGTGGAATTTTTTCTAAGCTTTGATAATCCGAGAGTAAGAGAGAACGAGCGGCTGCCTTCAAAGAGAAAATATCCAAAAGTAAGAATATTTTATAAGAAATAACAAGAAGTCTCATTACGTTTCACTTAGTCGCCGTAAAAGCTGAAAATTATTTGTTGCGCATATTCTCCTAATCATCTAGAATTGAAATTAACTTCATAATACTTTTATCAGTTGTTTTTGAGTAATGTCTGCTTTTATCTATTAGTACAACGAACGAATAAGTGTGAAAACAAAAACGGTTTCTATACTCTTAAAAAAGAAAGACAAACAAATAAAAATTTACAACTTCTTATGTATTTATTATATCTCGGAACCATAGTTCATCTTGCGTCGTCCAATTACTTGTTTGTGTTTCAATTGTGTTTAAATTTTTTTGTGTTTGTGTTCCGATATCATTCAAAAATAAGAAATCCATATCTTCAAAATACATGTTATCATTTGGTTCAATAAAATCATTAAAAATTGAATCATAATCTCCAATCGTTTGTTGTACAGAGTCTAATGGCCTAAATGGTAGATCATTCTGTATGCCTGTATCCATCATTAATACTTGTTGTTGATTTAATGAAGGTAGTTGTTCACTTGTTGTTTGCATCTGTTTTGATGATGTTTGAATCGGTAATGTTTGGACATTTACATTATGCGAATCTGCTGATGATGGTAATAGTATACGATCAGTACTTGTATGTTCTTGTACAGTTTGAATACTAATATCATTATAAAAATTCACATCAGGATTAACAATATTTGACATGGCTGTTTGAGTTTCTGAATGAACAACTTTAACGTTTTCAAATTGTGACATGGCTGATTTACCAAATAGAAGAGCTTGAACATCGTACAATATCGTTGAATTTATTGATGAATCTGTTTGCATTGGCGGCAGCAATGTGTCTAGTTGTGTAGGCAAAGATGTTGAATTTACGCGTTTTTTATAAAGACGAACACGATTTGTTGTTTGTACTGATTTCTGTACGGTTGCAGGACGTAATATTTGTACAACATTATTATCGTTATTATCAATCAATGAACAACATTCAGTTCCAACAGACACTAAATGAGAGGTTTGGGTTGCTTTATCGCCGTCAGTAATAGAATTTGTCAATGGTGATGATGCCATTCCATTACTGTTAATATTTTTATTATTTGAATTATTTCCTAGTGCTGATAGAACATACGGATTGATTGTGACAGTGGTCGCCGATATTGTAGACGGAATTTTGATAGCTAAACTATGAGCTGATGGAGCACGTTTTAAAAGCTCATTGGGTATGGGTATATCGGCTAACTGCTGCCATAAACGTTGATTTAATTTTGAAAGTTTACGTGGCTTTTTTGATTCGATTTGATTCATGCTATTAGGATGAAGTAATGAAAATACTGGATCATGTTTATTTACTTCTAATTTTTTCGATAATGAGGGTGAAGAACTTGGTGATTGTCTTTGAATATTACATGTACTCATTGTTGATGACTCATCGTCAGAAATACATACACTAAAACAAAGTTACTTTTTATTGTTTTCTTTGAGAAATGATCACAAAAATATTCGAACATTTCTTAATGAATAGAAAAAGGGAAGCTATAATAAGACTAATTAGTGTGAACAGTAAACGTACCTGAGAGGAGCAATTTTCATATCATTAACAGAAGACTGATTTTTTCTACTCTTTTTGTGATTAGACATCTTTTCAATATATTGATGTTTAGCCAAAACATGACGGCGTAAAGTTGTTCTATTTTGAAAACAGTCATTACACTGTGTACATTTGAACGGATTATCAATACCACAACTAAATGAGATAAATTTTTAAAATGCATATCTATAGAACTTAAGTACGAACCTTCGACTGTGCTCTTTCAAATCTTGATGAAGCGAAAACATTTTCGAACATTTTTCACATTTGTATGTTTTTTTACCGTGAGTGCGAAGATAATGCTAAACAGATAGTGTATATTTATTTATTTATTTATTTATTTATTTTTGAGATTTCAATATGAAATTTCGATCTTACCAGACGCAAGCTGTTGAACGACATGAATGCCGTTGGTTTTTGTTTTACATTTTCACATCGACAATAAAATATACATTGTTCCACGGGACAATGATACAAAGTACAGGTACGCATGTATCGATTTGGTGTCTATGAAAAAAAAGCATATCTTTCGTATCATTCATTGCAAAAATACAAAAAAACGTGGCTTACCTTCAAACAAATAGATGATTTGTGAGTAAATTGAAGGTGTATGTTGAGTGCCATAACATTTTTGAATAATTTTTGACAATTTATCGAATCATTTATCGGACATTTTAGTTGTGCTGATTCATAATTAAGTTCATCAATCGTAGGAGTTATACAAGAATCTTTATTGTCAGTTTTAGTTGATATCATTTCATTAACTTCATTTTCCATTTGTATTGAAGTAATACCAGTTCGTTGACCATGATAACTTTCAATCTCCATGCTTTTTTTTGCTTATATTTATATCAGTATTTGATTCGTTCGTTTTATTAAATAAATTTTGAGATTTCTGTTCAATTTTAAATGCACGTTTTTTCTCCAAAGTTTTTAGGGTTTCTAGACGTTTTTCTTCTTTTCTATAATGTTTTTCACGACGATATTGAGCAATTAAACTGTCTTCACCATTAAAATGATAATCCAAACGTTCTTGTAATTGTCGTCTAGCTAATACACGATTTGTTTCAAGAAAACGTGTTTGTTGACAAGTAACTACAATCCCTAAACACAATTAAATAAACAATACATATTTACAATATAAATACAATGTGAAATGATCGTACCAGTCGGGATATGCTTTATTTGACAACAATTTTGTGTTTTATTTATCGCTTGACCACCCGGACCCGAACCTTTGATATATTTTTCTTCTAAATCTTTTTCGTTAAGTGAAGGAAGTTTTTTACGCCAGTCGTTCGGTAACGCTGTTGAGATGTAACGAATAACGTAACTAAAACTATGAAACACTTTCTTAGTTTAGGGTGTAGTTCAGAACTGTTAAAAACAACTCTCCATACTAAATGCATGTTTCTCTACTAGATCAGGAATAAAGATAAAACTTTATTTAAAAAGTTTTCTCACCTAGTCTTATTAATACTATTAAATAAAAGATATAGACGTAAGGGAGAAAACATTGATGATCATCTACAAGGGAAAACATCTAATTAAAACAGCAACAAATGTAGCTAAACAGACGTGATACCATTTCGTTTGGCATATAATTTATTTTGCTTGAGAAGTTCGAACAGATAAAATTAATCATTTTCTACAAAAAAATTTCTCAAATTATTTCCGCATAGATTAGATAAGATGTAGATGGAATTTATTGCACTGCTGAAATAATTTTCTATGATATACATAGAATGACTCGGAAAGAAATGAAAATGAACAAACAAAATGATTTTAAATATACAAAAACAGGAAGATTTACAATAAAACACGGAGATATGTAGTATTATTAACTAAAAACTGTTTCTGTTAATCCAAGGGTGATTATTATTTTACTCTAGTAAGATGTATTGCTATAATCGCAATAAAATTAACAATAAGAATAAAAGAGGCCAAACATTCACTTGTAAGCTTATACAAAAATAATTTTAACAAAAAAAAATACAACGTAAGAAATAAATAACACGAAACTTATTAGCAATGTGAAGTGAAATAGATACTTCTCAGCATACAAAAAAAAAATAATAAAAATTGAGGTACGTGTACTGTATAACAACTGTTATCCACCAGAATGTTTACTAGTAATAATGTAGAACGAGTATTAGAAATCGAGAAAAAATTGAGCAAAAACTAAGCCCGAATTCGTATTGTAAGTAGTCGAAAATTAATTCTATCAAGAATGTCCTCTAACTTCAACTAGGTATTGGATAAAGAACAAGAAGTAAATTTCAATATATTAAGATTATTCTTTCCAGATCCTCTCGGAGATGAGTCGCCAGTGTTTGAACTCATGAAAAAACGTTTTCAGATGATAAATCTCTTCTTTTGTTATGGAACATAGGTTTTTGTAGGTAATGAGAAGTATAAGATTGATCTTTGTGTCGACTCTTAGGCTTTGTTATTCTTCTTATACAACTGGAGTATCTAGAAATTCACAAACTATCAAAGTAAATATTTCTGAAAGTGTTACTTTGTAGAAAATATCAATTTATATATGCACAGAAACGAATAGAATTATTCAACAAGCTTTTGTAACAGATCAGAACTTTCTGCACTTACACATTGTATATAAACGTTCTATAACTTTCAAAAACTTGTTGAATAATTCTATTAATTCCAGTACATATATAAATTGATATTTTCTACAAAGTAACACTTTCAAAAATATTTACTTTGATAGTTTGCGAATTTCTAGATACTTCAGTTGTATAAGAAGAATAACAAAGCCTAAAAGCCGATACAAAGATCAATCTTATACTTCTCATTACCTACAAAAACCTATGTTCCATAAAAAAAGAAGAGATTTATCATCTGAAAACGTTTCGTCATGAGTACTCATTCAATTGTCTAAACTGGTGACTGATCTCTCAGTTCTCTTGTCAGTGTCTGTCTGTTTTTTTTCTAGTCGACTAACTTCTAAAAATGTATAATTGTTAGACTTGTTCATCGAACTATTATAAATAAATGAAAAAATTTAAAATATGCCAAATAATTAGTGATTGAGAGTCAATGTATAAAAATGAATCAAATTGAACGTTAACTTGTGTTAACTTGTTGTGATTCGTTGTTATCTCGAAAATTTACTTGTTTACTAAACAACGTCTTCATATCATCCGATAATTTATCGTTTATGATTATATTTATCTTCAATTTCAATTTTTCAATTAAATTCCCTTTATTATTATCATCGATTGTAATCTGATTAGATTCTATTTTCGATACATAATCGTTTAATTTCAATAAAAGATCGATTAACTCGATTTCATTCGTTATAGAGGATAATAAATCATTTTCTAAATGACATGTAGCTGTTGTCTCAATATGTAAACTAAATATTTTTAATTCTGCTTCCGTTTGTCTATTATACAACCAATGTTTAAAATTTGGTGTTTGTAAAAAATGTTTATACAATTCTTTCCAATCACCTTTCAATCCACTTGTTAATTGTGGACCGTAGAGCTCAATTGTTTTCAAAAACTCATCATTATCAAATGGTTTAATTGATGGTTGTTTGCGATTTGGTATACAAAATTTCTTTAATGGTAATAAACTAGTAAAATAACGTTCTAATGGTATAATAAAACTTTGAGTTAATTCCAGAAAAAATCGTCTTAATAATGTATTCTGAACATTATCGGGACGTTGATGAACGGAATTTTGTAATTTTTTCAAAATTGTCTTATCACGTTGTAAATATGTCTTATATTTTGTGTAAAGACCGGGCTTCATATCAAATGTCAAATGAGAATTACTACCACGAAATGGCGTCGATTTACGTTTATACGGCTTTATAGTTGTTGTAACTTTTTTAGTTGGTGCAGTTGGCGGTTGAACATCTCCCAGATCTTCATCTACTTCATTCACAGATAAACCCTCATCATCATCACTCAAATTTCGATCGATAAGTAAATATCGTTCCTTTTTCTTCGTTTCAGACATATTAATTGAATCAAAAACTCGAATTATGTGAGGCCAATTGTGTAATAGTTTTGCAAAAAATGGATTTGTTACACCAATGATAACTGATGGTTGTTGGTCCGAATTTGTTTTCTTTGTTGAAGTATTAAACGTATATTCATGAAATTCACTATTATGAATTGTAAAAAATGGACGGTAATCTGATGCATAGCGTAACTAAACAAACAAAACTTTTTATTTCACTTCAAGTAGCAATTATCGAGGGTTTTTGTTACTCACTGGCCAAATAATATGCACAATTGCTTGAACTGTTTGAGAACAATTAGTCGGAAATGTGCCTAATACGGCGATTGGTTCATTGAGTAATACCAATTCCCAAAGAAGCTGTATATGGTTAAGAACACAAGCTAATGATTGGTACGTATTTACATCATGTACAAATGGAATCAGACGAGGCAATTGCTGTTCATGATGCTGAAGAAATATAGAAGCATTGTCAGATGAAAGTTTTTTGTCGACTGGAGTGGTCATTTCAATCTAGAAGTAAGAATAATCAACTATTCAGTATGTACAGTACTCAAGTAACACGAACTACATGTAACTTTGATTTTGAAAACACTTATTGTTTACAGATGGTTGCCTCACCTGCTTAGTAGTTGACATGGATGGCAAAGATACGGTTGATTGTGAATGATTTTGATAATTTTTCTTACTCTCTTCTAAGTTATTATTTAAAGTTGAATTAATTGTATCTACACTATCATCAATTGGGAAATTTTGTTGAGAAGAAGACGCAATTGTACGATTATTTGTGTTATTTAAAATTGTTCGAAATTGTATAAGATCAGACGATGAAAACGGTTTATCACCATGAGTGGGTATTCTAACTTGTAAAACATTTCCGAGCAACGGTAATAATAATGTTTTCCCTAAACGATAAAAAGAATAACAATTGTAATCATGGCCAATCCTATTTTATTTACCTGGTTCTGGTTCTGGCCATTGGTTGTCCATTAGATGACAGCATGTCTCTAAACTTGTCAAACCTAGTTCAAAATAATTTGGTCCCAATTGGCTAACAATGGATAAAAATAATGAAATAAATGGCAGTTTCGATAAAAGAACAACGGATTTCTGAAAATAGCCACGTTTAATGCTCTTATCCCGTACTTGTCGAAAATGAACGTAACCATATAAATAATTAGGATCAACTTGTAATACTGATGGTACAATTCGATTATAATGTTCATAGTAAGACATTGAAGATGGAAGATGATAACGCTGAGATGAACTAGATGACCATGAATCATGTTTAATACGAAAATGATATTGTGTATCACCTAAAAATGTTGAATTTGCATCAGGAAATGATAAATAACATAAATTTAATTTTTCTTTATCCGATAATTTACAATGATGCGGTAACAGAAGTTCAATGGATTGTCCCAATTCTAAATCAAATGTCACAACAACAATTGCATGAAGCCAATATTTTAATCGATCCCATGGAAGAAAAAGAGATGTTGGTCCAGATGATGTCAACGGTGAAAGAGGAAGCTGTATTGGAGTTGATGTTTCTGACATGGATGCTGACATACGGCGTGTATGTTCGGTTAATAAATTAATGTCTGAGTGTGAACGATAAAATGACGAATTCGTATCTGATACATTTAATAACGAAGATTTTATATTTGTCATTATTGATTATTGTCTAAAGTCGGTAATTATAATACCGAGCAGAATCATAGTAAAATAAATAATTCAATATTTTACATAATTAATACACGATAAATCTCATTAAGTTAGAAATTACACTAATTAATCCTAATTACAGAAGTAAAAATATTCTTCAATGATAATCATATCACACTAAACAAAATTTATCTAAGTTTTTTTATCAAGATAAAATGCATATTGTCCTTTACAGAATAAAAGCCTTTTGATGACCGAAATCCTCTAGAAGATTCAAGAAATATCTTTTTGAATAGCTTTTGATTAAAAAGAGCTAGAGAGTTGCGGGTTTTGATAATCGAAAGATAAGTCCAGGTACAAAGAAGTTGTCAAAATCTTTTGTGAAAATTGCAGAGCGTATAGTATTGAGCCTGTTGTATGTCCTATTGATAAAATATCCAAAAATATTTTTCAAAACAGTGTAGTTTTTCTCGAAAGAAAACCGTTAAACAAAAGTTTTCCAGTCTTTTTTGTAATTTAATAATCATGTTTAGCAGACAAAATTAATTATATCTAGACGTTTGAATATCGTACTGGAGCTATGGATTTTTTTAATCTTAATCACCTTCATTCAGGTAAGATACTAAGTTTTCGCTAGATTTGGTGAATTTTTTTCAAAAACAAACATTTTTGCCATATTCAAGATGGTCAATTACACATGTACCATGGGATTCCAAATTTCCTTCCAGTCCCCAGGTACTAGTTCTAAGGTCCCAGGGAAATATCGTATCATGCTCGAATTACTTCCACTTTGAAGAAAACATTTTAGGCTATCTGTTCACATAAAAAATACTTTACTGCCGTTTAGATTTCTGGAGAATTAGAAATATTTTTTTGTTTTTGCAGAAATAAAGCTCAAACAGCGTATCCTGTACGATGTTTTGAAATGCCTAGTAAAAAGACAAATCCCATTCACTCAACTATTGGACAAAATATTTTCAGTATACTTCTTACCGAGGCGACTTTCACAGTTGTGAGATCATGCACGTTGCTAGGTAAGTGGATATCTACACCGTATCCATCAAATCGTTATCTACCTGTCTAACGCATGTCTCACTGTATTTTATTTTCAAATAAATAAATGCAAGTGTAATCTTTTTTCTAACTGCCATCTGCTTCAAAAATAACTTACTCCTCTCTATCATTTATCTAGAAAGAGTGCTAAAGTCTTCTTAATATATGAAAATAATTATGTAACAACTAAACATTGATTAATATTGAAAAGCCATAAGAAAAGAAAGATATCAAAATTTCTTTTTGTTCTTCTGTCTCATTTATATAAAGTTTAGTACAAAACAAATAGTGATTAAATACAATACGAAGAAAGAGTGCAGAAGTAAGAAAAGAGAATAGCCGAGTACAGATCCTATCTACAGAAAAATAATAGAAAAGGATGCAATTGTACATTAAAAAGAAAAAAGAAGAGTAGAAAGATATACTTGAATAGCTGTCAGAAAAATATTAGAAGATATACGTTTCGGTACCGTATTCATTTTTAGAGAAGAAAAATAATTCATTCAGTTTTACTTTTTCGTGGGCATGCATTTGACTAGAGCTGATGATTCTATCTGCCTGTGTGCAATTTCACAGTATAATCAAATTGTCAAACTAGAAGTTTTCTTTTGTTTATGTTTGTCAATATTAAATCAGAAAAAAAAGAGCCAATTATTCTTAGTTATTTTAACCACAATTGCATAAAAGAAAAAAATAATAATATAGCAGTATATACAAGCATACGAAGAACAGTAAATCAATTAATAAAAAAGGTAAAAAGAAACAAAACGTCAACATTTGTGTCAAAGAGAAAAGAACAAATGAAAATAATCTCTAATTAATCTCAAATCATAACTACTAGTGTTTCCATCATACCTTTTTCTTAAATACTGTTATAATTAATACTGTACTAATTATTTTCCTGTTCAATATTGGACTCATCTACTAACTAAAAGTGGTAAAATCTCTTACCAGATTTTGTTTGCCTAGTCCATCAACTTGAATATACAAGTTCAACACTAATTGCCTGAGTACTATAAATACAAACAACGTCTATCTTTTTTCACAAATATTTATATGGCAAAAGAAGACCAACGGAAGGATACTTCTCGAAGAATATAACGGAAAAGTTGAATTATATGCAAATCATCAATTATCTATTCATTACATACGATACAATAGATATAAATAAGATATGGAATAATAAATTTCAGAACAAAGAAAAATAAATAGGTAAGTTCTATAGTGAACATGATAGTCATAAATTATCGTGTACCAGATTCTGTTGTTGTTGTACTATGACTTTGACAATAAAGTTCTTTTAATTGTCTTAATTCTTCGATTAATGCTTTATTTTGATTTTCTAGTCCTGTAACACGTTCTTCTAAACATTTAATATACTCTTTTTTCTTTCGTCGACATTCACGAGCTGCTTCACTAAAATACAAAAAATTACAAAACTAAAAACATAGTGGAAACAATGTGAAAAAATTACCGATTTTTCTGTAATCTCATTTCACGTTTGCGTGATGGATCTTCTGTATGTGGTTTACAATCATGACGTGATGAAGATGTTGTAGGTGTGTTAGTGGAAGATGACGATGATGATGGTGATAAATTATTTAAACCAGTTGTTGAAACTTTATAAGCTGATGGTAGATCATTGGGTAGTCCTAAATTAATTCATTTTTATTTTCATAATCTATTCTATTTATGATGAAGTTTCGTGTCCTCATCAATTAAGAGTTAAAAATAATAATAACGACTAAAGAGAGAAAGGTATTTACTTCATTACCTGGATAAAAGTAAGATCTAGCGCCATTATCTTGACAAAGTATCGAAGGAGGGTTTGAAGTCAAATGAGATCCAGAGCCTGACATTGAAAGTAGACCATTGTTTTCATTTGATCCGAGATGTGCTGTTGTAATCACTGAAAAAAAATATACAAATTAAAGAATAATTTTTATTTCACGAGTAACGGGAACATATTCAACTATTACCTGTTTGTTGATCGGGACGGATACCGTTTGAATTATGTTGCTGTGCTGATGAAGAAGAAGTTGAACTACTTAATTTTGTTTGTGAACCACTATGTTGTTCTATGTTACTTGTGAAATTTGCCGTTTTATGTTTCTTATTCGACGATGACGTTGAAGTTGGGTTAGTACTACCATCCAGGATTAAGTTTTGTTGTGAGTCAGATACTTTATTGTTGTTTTCTCCCTCTTCTTCAGTATCAGTAATATGTTCTTCTTTTATAATACAATTTCCTTCGCTCAAAAGCTCGTTGTATGGTGGATTTGTTAAATGATTGTTTGGATTCGTATTTGTTCGATCTTGTTCACTGCTACTGGTATTGCCACTAATTTTGGCAGAATAAGAATCAATGTCTCTCAAATGTGAGCTTATTTGTGCTGGGACAACCTAAGAAACAATTTTCAAATAATGCCGCATATTTTTTTATTATTTTTCCATAACAATTCGCTTCAAGTTCTCTTTTTCTCGCCTGAAGAATAAGAAATTTCCTACATTCACTTATTCAAATTTCCATTCATACGAAATTGATTTTTTTGTTTTTCGATAGTTTGAGAACACTTCTATAGATTGAGCATCTCCCAACCAGTGGCGGATCCAGAATTATTCTTTGCTACGTGTGGTATACGATAAAAGTGCGAGATACATACGGTCGTCATAGAAACAAATTATTTTAAAAGAGTTCTGCTGATAAAAAAATAGTTTTCTGGTTAAAAGATACGAGTGGCCGCTCGTGGGCTGGATCCACCACTGCCCCCAACTCGTACACTAGTTTACTTGTTTTTTTTATTTCTCTATTTATAGTTTCTTCTGTTGTTGTTTGGCTCGAGTCATTATTATTAGAGATCGGGAACCTTTGATGACTCTCACTCTTCATGAATAAATACTGCTACTATTACTGTCGCCCTCACGCTACACAGCGTGCTACTATTAGAGAGATGACCAATCTGTAAAAGAGTCAAACATGCTTACCTGCAAGGTCTGGACTTGGGTGTTTGAGTTTGGAGCTAGTCCTAAAGATATTGTTCCATTATTTGTTCCAAGGTTGTGTAGTAAATAGTTTTTATTCGTCGCCATGCATACATGCTAAAAATAATAGACGACTATAGAATGAGAGAGACAGTCAAGATTCAATAAAATGCTGATTTCATGGACGAGACGGCACGTAGTACAGATGAGCAATCAGAGTTCTTGACTCTGTAAACAAACTTGCTTCTCGTGTTATTTCTCGCAATTTTGACTATCGTTTTTCTAGTTCTTTACTTATGTCTCAACTATCTCTTCCAAATCTTTCTCTTCGTCGTAAATATTTTTGTCTTGTACAATTTT